TATATTTTTATGTAAATATTCATTCTATCACAAAATTAATTTCGTTGCAACAAGATACGAAAATGTTGCTAAGTAACGGATTTTTTTCTCCCCATTTTGCGATTGTGTTTCAAAATATTATATTACGTAATTTTTTGAGAACAGGCAATATCGCGGCGGTTGCAAAATTTCTACAAATGTACACCGCCGCGACAACATTGTAAAAAAATTTCGTTAGCTATTTTTACGGAATATATATAGTATTTGCTTTTATTAGTTTCATGTGAAACTCATTATTCTTGCTCATTATATAGGACTCATTTTAAAAAATTATACACATACATATATATAGACATTATTAGAGTATTTAGACTAATTTGGAGTATATTTATTACATATTCTTAAATAATGCTATGAAATCTCCTTTGACATTTAGTTACTAATGTAAAGTTTGTGTTACCTATTTTTATTTTGTAAGTACTTACCTCTCCTATCTTAAAATGTGTGTAATGTTAACATTTTGTAAAAGTTATTATTATTTTGAATGAATTTAATGCATGTATTAGAATTGTTTGAAATATGTATTTTGCTGGTTTCAATTTATTAATCTATTATAAAAAATCCCTCTTAAATTCGCCATGGCCTTACAGGGCGTTCCATGATACTTTACAATAATCTACCAACTTAAATTGTATTTTGTATGCTTTAACTGTGACATGCAAATAAATTATAGTATGTGCCTATCCATTTTAAACGAAATGTAAACAAAACAGTTTGGTTAAATTTGTACAAAAAATTTCAATTAAAGTTTCTGTAATCGATTAGTAAATCGAAAATTTCAATCGCAATCGAACGAGTATCTAAGTGTAAGGATTTGTTTGTTGTGATTAATTGATTTGTATTTGGCAGTAAAATTGGCCATCACTAAATCGTCTGTGGTCAGGTCAGTGACTTGTTTGTTTACTTCTTGCTTAAAATGGATTGAAACGAAGTATATTTGTAGTACTTTCAGAGTGTGAAGCACTCATTAACTTTAACACTTAAGATTTATATTATATTCTATGTCGCTTCCGGTAACAATAATCCTATGTTCAAAGTGTCAAAGTTGATGTGCTCTTGACTGTACATGCTATAAGTAAGTAAAATTTAAAACGACATACCATGGCCAAGAGGCACGCAATAAGTAGTGGCGGCACAATGGCGCGGGCGTACCTTCTCGTACCGGCTCAATTGCTGCAGCTCACAGTCCGAGTGATGTTTGTCTATTTCATACAAAACACGTATTATAAGTTAACAGAACGTGCCGTGCCATGTATTGGCTTGTTTTGGCGTACAATGTCTCTGTAGTGTCACTAACGCCGCACATACATATCGCACATGACAACTAACATAGTATTATCCCAAAATGGCTTTAATTTATATTAATATTATATTTTATTTATATTAATATTACTATTTAGTTTCAAAGCGACGGTATTGTCCTGTCACTTTGAAATTAAATCGTATATGAATGACACATCAATATAGCAAAATTTTGGAGATAAATTATTAATATAACGCAATTCTGAGATAAAATATAATATACAACGCCATTTTTGAGATAATACTATGTTAGTTGTCAAGTGCAATATATGTAAATGATATATACGCTTGTACCAACGCGAAATTATACGCACTCCCACTTGCACAAGTCAGTGGATATCACATACAAATACATAATGATTTTTTTAATGATAACAAGTGACGAGACGAACACGCCTGTCCATAACAGTTACAGTGTCATTCAGAGCTTTAAAACATAAAGATCTGAAGGGCACTACCACTGCACGCGTCACCCTGAGACATAAGGTTGGTAAGTCTCATGTGCCTGTAATTTCACCAGCACCCTTAACCCTTTAAAATCGGAAAGCAGTAATGCTCACATTACTGCTTGGCGGCGGAAACAGGTAATGTGGCAGTACTTCCCTGGATGACCTCTTTCACAAGGGGCTCTACTGTTCACATATCAACGAAATTGACAACATCGTGGAGTGACGACATCATATGGCAGGATTTGATGAGTTTGCAAACACACCAAAATTGCTTATCTAAAACAGCAAGATAAATTCTACACTCCGAACGAAAAAGGCACAATTGGCATTTTTATCGAGTTAAATACGTTTTTCAAATCAGGAAGTAGGGTCTACCCACCTATTTTTTTGTAGAAATCTATCTCATTAGTATACTTACGAAACAATAACTAACTGACATTCCGTACGTTAACGATCCCAATAAATTATATAATTCAGTTTTCAACATAGTGAAAAGGGAACGTGACAGTGTTTTTAAGTCCAAAATCACAACTATTAATAATTAATTGAAATTTAGTGATTGGGCGACTGTGGGAATTCACAAAAGTAGACAAAGGCTATATGATCTTTACGATGAAAAGACTTATAACACTAGTAACAGTTTCAATGATTTTGTTAGGAAATATTCGAAAATGTTTAAACGTGTTTGTGTTGCAGCCAAAGCAATGTTTATAAATAATAAAATTAAAAGCAGCACGAATGCAGTAAAAAGGACTTGGAATATTATAAACAGCGAAACTAGAAAGGTCAAACCTCGTAACTTAGATTGTCAACTAAGATTTAATGACAAAATTGGAAAAACAGACGCAGAAGTTGCTAAAATATTTGAAATTTTTTTTACTGATATTCCAATTTTGACTTCTAAGTCGTTAAATTTACATTAGCCTAGAGAGGCGGTTACAAACATTGTAGATAGAAACGAAAAATTGGATCTTGTGGATACAGTTGTATTTCTAGGTATAACGTTAGATGCTAACTTGCAATGGGGTCCCCATATAAGTAAGTTATCAAAACGGCTCGGCTCTGCAGTGTAAGCGATTAAAAAATAAGGAAATTTTCAGACGTCGAAACCGCTAGATTAGTTTACTTCAGCTACTTTCACAGTCTAATGACATACGGCATTTTGCTTTGGGGTAATGCCGCCGATATCAATAGAATCTTGGTCCTGCAGAAACGTGCAGTTAGGTTACAATCTGGGCCCCAAAGTATCTTTGAGAGATAAGTTTAAGGAAATTAACATTCTTACACTAGCCTCACAAACAAATAAAAAAAAAATATTGTAAATGTTGGATGTGTACAAATGTTATTTACAAAGATCGACCCCTAGAGTTTCTTGCTCATTCTTCTCAGGGGAATCTGCCTTACGAATGAGCGGTAGAGTTTAACCATTGTGACGATTTCAAGTGTAATAATGCTATCTAATAATGATAATGAAATAAAGATTATTTTGAATTTGAATTTGAATAAAACTAGCATTTACGTTAGTATGCCTTTTATACGCTGTAACAATATTTTTTATATATTTTTTCTACTAAGGTAGTAAACAAAATGAAGGCTTTTTAAAAAAGTTTTATTAAATAGGTTTTACGTAAAAGTAACATCGAAATAAACAGTTTAATATCAAAAATATATTTACGGCCTCAGTGGTTGTCAAACTATAGTTTGCACGCCGATTTTCATTGTGTCGCCATCTTTGGTGTGCCGGGTTCGATTCCCGGCCGGGTCAATGTAGAAATTAACGTTTCTATATTGTCTCAGGTCTGGATATTTGTGGTACTGTCGTTATTTCCGATTACTACAACACAAGTGCTTTAGTTATTTACTTTGGGATCAGAGCAACGTATGTGATGTTTATTATTTATTTATATTTCAATCATTCTTTTTACTAAAAAAAAAAAAAATTAATTTGTCTCCAATGTTTTTAATTTGCTGCTTGTGCCTTTCTTTCTTCAGAGGTCAGAATTACTAAACGTATACTATCACTAATAAAGTACATACTTACATACAACGATATGTATGATAAAATTTATATGAAATACTTGTTCCTCTTTTAGTACTTTAACTTTCTAGCGTGCAGTGAAACCATTAAGCGATAAAACAACATAATTAGGTAATTACACAGTTGCGAACAAATTTAGATGGAATTACAATATTATGTAAGATATAACCAAGATAAATTTAGTCAGTTATTAAAATAAAATAAAGACATGTATGACTATGAATAGGCAAACTTGTCGGTCCTTTTTATACAGCGAAAGCGTTTATGGCCATAAAGAAAAAAATATGGACGCCACTGCGAGAAAAAGCACTTTCGTTAAATGCAGGATTACCTAAAAAGTAGGACCCATAAATCCTTTAGCTGACTTTAGGGAAATAGGCCACAACATTGTACCTCCATTCGTAGTTTGTGATATAGGAAAAAAGCTCAATGTTAAAGTTAATTTCCGATATGCCTTTTTG